CTGAGCTTGGAGCGAGTCCAAGTGCTCTTGAATGAACTGAAATAAAATCACTCGGCCTGGCATGTCCTGGTGGTTAGTGCACTCGACTGGTCGCGGGCTCGAATCCTGTCACCGAACATGCTAGCCCTTTCAGCCATTGGAGCGTTATAATTTTTATGGTCAATCCCACTATTCGTTGGTAAAAGAGTATCGCAAGAGTTGGCGGTGGGTAATGCAGAAGTAATAACAGAAGTATTATGCAAATCAGAACTGCAGTGGAACTACTCTACAGTTAAGTGTGGCTAATAGATAACTCCCATTCATTATCTTTAACTGCATACCAAAGGAAATACAAGCTAATTATGTGGTATTTTCCTACAACTAAGTGTGGCTAATGGCTAATTCCCATCTACTGTCTTTCACTACATACCAAAGGGAAAGACAAGCTAATTATGTGGTATATTCCTAGAATTAAGTGTGGCTAATGGTTAACTCCTATCCACTGTCTTTAACTACGTACCAAAGGGAAAGAAAAAGCTAGCTGTGTAGCACTTTCCTACAAGCAATTGTGGCTTGTGGTTAACAGACATCCAATGTCTTTATCTCGACTTTGAACACAACCCCAAAACACTTATTCGGCGTAAGGCAACGAAACATCACAAGTAAGAACAAAATCTAATTGGTTTTAAAATATCTCTTCAGACAATATGTTTATTCACATTTCATTTACTTGAAGTTGTGAAATGGTAAAATAATAGTCTACTGCAGTGTCTGAAAGTATAGATGTAAATATGAAGTTTTAGTATTAATCACTCTTAACCATAGCCCCTTGATACGCGAAGATTCTGTTCTTTTTTAGTAACAAATACTGCAGGAACCTAAACTATATAAATATCTGGACCTTAAGTTTAAACTCGGGGCTTACAATTTTATAAAATATCACATTACTTGGATTTTGTTAGCAAGAAGCTGTATTATGTTAACAAATTAAGTATTTCTTAGCTATCAAATGAAATTGTCGAACCATTTGATACTAATCTGACCATGACAATATATTAGTCTCTGAATATAAGTGGCATTGCTTTGGTTTGTTTTGAATTTCGCGCAAAGCTACAGTCACACCAAACATGCTCGCCCTTTCAGCCGTGGGGGCGTTATAATGTGACGGTCAATCCCACTATTCGTTGGTAAAACAGTAGCCCAAGAGTTGGCGGTGGGTGGTGATGACTAGCTGCCTTCCCTCTAGTCTTACACTGCTAAATTAGGGACGGCTAGCGCAGATAGCCCTCGAGGGATTCAAACCCGCGACCCTCAGATTGCGAGTCGAGCGCCCTAACCATCTGGCCGGGCCATAAGTGGCATTACGAATCATTTGTGTTTTTTTAACATGTGTAATGTCATTTAATTTGCGAAATAAACTCGATGATAATTGCAGTGTAATGTAATTGACATAGCTAATCATTCAGTAACTACAGTGACATTAAAAGCATATCAGTTGTCTTTTGTATCAAAGGTCATTGTTAAACTATTGATACTGTAATTATACCAAAAATACTAGTTCTTTCTCTTTCACCATTATATGTTTGGTATTACAACAGTATTAAAATTGTCTTCTATAACATTTACTTTGCATTATAGTAACATTACATACCAAATTTCTTTAAAATCAAGAATAATTAGAAACCGTTAAGTGCTATAGTACATTAACAATAATTTATTTTTCCTCAGAAACAAATGCCATGGTCATCTATTGGGTAGTATAATACATTTATATCAGACACCATTCCATTACTATTATATGAAATATTTACAGATTATTTTTGAAAGGTTATTTCTTAATGAGAACTTCATATTTAATTTCGATAATTGACATAAGCCTATTCATTTGAATCATGTAATCAAGCTTTTATTAAAAGTGTCATTTTAAGTACTTTTGGTAAAAACATCTAAAGCCAATAGCCTTTTTCCACAGCTAAAAACTAAATCTGGCATGGTACCAAGTTTTTTAATTTCCTGAAACTTGTAGATACTGACTTATTAAAGTGGAAAATACATATAATTATATGTACAGTTTTGAGTAAAGGAAAGATAAAACAACAAAAACAATACCTCTGCTGAACTGATTAGTAGCGAAACAAGATTTAAATACATTTTAAGCAAGTAGCTAACTGCGAAATAAAAACAGAGGGTGTACCTTTGTTTACCTATACGAAACTTATTCCAAATTGGAACGGAAGAAAGAACTCTTGTTAATAATCTAAGAAAATACTGAAGTTTAACTTAAAAGTATGGCACATTTAATTTAGCAAATAAAATAATATAACATTCAATAACATATTTTCTGAATTTTTCTTTCGAAACGACCCAACTATCTCATATGTTCGATTCTTGGAAGTTCTACACCATGGAGAAAATTCGCACAAGTGGTTGAAAAAAGAAATTATATGGAGTTACTTTTCTGGATATTTTGGATAATGCAGCACTGGATGCTGTGATATTATATAATAACAAGTATCTTTATATGTACATAATGCTAGTTTTCCGTCAGGTCACTAAGAATACGTATAGGACGCAACCGTTTCATTCTAGGAAGAATATTATGCCAGCTTAGTTCAACTGGAAGCTGACAAATGTTCAAAAGCGAATCTATTAATGCAGATCTTGTGTAATTCTTTGTATGACTTCTTTCTGTGATAATACTAAATAGGATAATGACAAGAAACATCATTTAGTAAAACAATGCAATTAAAAGTGTAATTTCTTTTCAGGCACATTGTAATATTATATTAAGAGTAAAAACAAAAACGACGTTTTTGGCACAATGAAAGATAAAATCTATTAGATATTTCAGTGACTAATTTTTTTGTAAAGTCATTTATATCTTCCAATAACAGGATCTTTTTATTATTATCTCATATAAACATTATTTAAAAAGTCGTGAAACGTTTTCAAATACCTTCAGACGTTAGCTATCTCATTTGATATTCTTTTAAATTTCCAATCGATAATCCATTCCTAAAAAATATGTAAGAGCGCTTTTAAGTTTATAGAGAACAAAAGGTTTAATTGTCCAAATAATGTATATATAATTACTATTGACTTCCAATCAGAGCAAGCTACCTACTCAGATAAAAGACAAAAATAAACATTAATCTGGCAATCCTACTCAGATAAAAGACAAAAATAAACATTAATCTGGTAATCCTACTCAGATAAAAGATAAAAAAAGCATTAATCTGGTAATCCTACTCAGATAAAAGATAAAAATAAACATTAACCTGGTAAAGACTATAGCTAATTAGATATACTGTTCTTACGATGTCGCAGAAATCGCTCGCTTTATAGTTCAAACGCATGCGCCAGCCTGGAGCAACTAGCTGATAAGTTTTCTGTTGTTTTTTTCTTCTTTTATACGGCAATGTAAAAACTATTTTTCTGGTTATTTAGCAAAATATCCACGAATACTTTATAAAATTCGTCAAATATTATGTTTAATGTAATTAAACTGATGTTTGCTGATATCTAAAGGATGTTTTTAAGAAACAATGATTTCTAACATGCTCTACACTGGAGGCTAGAAAGTAGCAGACGACTTTTCTCCTATAAATCATTGTTATCCCGCAACGTACAACTATTCTAAGACATATATGAGCTAAATAGTGAGACTACGAAAATAATTCAAATCGCTATTAGAAAAAGAAAACTAAAATCAGTGTTTCGACCAATAGATGAGTGAAATGTTTAAATTTTGTCCTTACATTGTTCGAGTATTTGTAGCTCATTTCACTATTTATGTTGTATATAATGATGAGTAACTTTTTCCACACAGAACCTTGATTAACGACTTTGACATTACAAATATTATCACAACTCTCAGTACGGCACTAAACTATATGGAATAATATCTTCTGTAATAATTTTATAGGGGTATTCCTTATACCAAACTACATAACTAGACTTTCAGCTGATAATAAACAATGCTACTTTCATATAATTATTGAACTTACCGCTTGTATTTCTAGAACTTGGAAAAGTAGTACGCCTAAAACAAAAGCCCTAAAATAGAGGAAAAAATATAATTTTAGTTAATTTAAACTTATTTTCAATGTTTACGAAAAGTATTAAGATTTTGATAGAGAAGTAACGAGCCAATCCCACTAATGAACATGACATATATCAACTTCAAAGCTTCAGACAGACACTATAGTAATTTACACGAAAAGTACACAAGTTCCTACTAACCATTTGAATATTGATCTTGCACAAAAATGTTCAGATTTCTGCTCCATAATTTTCGGGGCTCTTTCACTGTGAGAGGGCTGCCACCCACAATCTACTCCCCCCAAATTACACTCAAGTTCTCTGCTTCACTGGCGATGAGTTAGTATGAAGCAACTTTTCTGAACACTTACAACAAGGTTTTGCAGCTACTTACAAACTAGAATAAAAAACAGAAGTGTTTTGTAAACGCCAAAACTCCAACCCGTTTTTTGGAGCCCTAAACTACCAATCGAAGCCGTGGCCCACCGGAGGCGATGGTAGCCTGCAGTTTTCGATCGGAGTTGACAACCAAGACTTTGGCCTTTTAGGGCGGGATTTTGCTTGTCACGTGACCAACACTTTCACTTATATGATATTAAACATTAGAATGCATAACTTTGTTCTTTATTATTTATTAGCTATGCAGTTCTATGAAGCCAAGTTTTGTGACTAATCAATAACAGCGACTTTTCTATTCTTCGGGTTGAAATGTTAGCAATTAAAAGACATAAAAAAATTTAACGTCTGTCATAGGACAACACTCTATTGGATAAGCTTACGTCAATCATTTAAATTATTTACCTACCTTCAGTAAATTCTTGTAGTTTACAATCACAGTACCTCAAGGAAGAAGACGCTCCTGTCGCATTTTGGTGAATTTGCCTTTGAAGTAAGAGTATTTAGATGTAAAACTAAAAGTGATTAGGATAGAGAAGGGAAATATAGCAAATAAGTACAAAAACGAGAATCACTTCCAAACAGGTGAAACGCTTCTTCCCGCCGGAGGCGGAGAAATTCATAAGCTTCATTAGCTGGTGAGCTCTTTCTGGCTAGACGGCCGTGGAATGAGAGGCTGACGAGTGGATTACAAGGGAGTGGGGTTGGACGGCACGAAACTTCGAGTTTGCCGCTCTCTTCGGCTCTTAACAAAATGAAATTGAAAAACGTATTTTTTTACCTGTTTATCACAGGTTTATATCTTCTTTTCTCGGTCAAGTCCAGTGAGGCTGCGGTGAGTACTGATTATTTCGTTCTAAAACTTACTTTGAAAGGAAAAATATATTCAGGATAATTATTAATGAAAAAATAATGTGAAAATCAAGAATATGAATCTAATCTGAAAACGTCTTTTATTTTATTTTTCCTGTATTTATAAGAGTAAGGAAGTGTTTCTAATGTGTGGGGTTTCGGTATACATGTTCAACTTACCGTTTAGACGAATATCCACGAAACGGAGATTTATACACTGCATGCTCACCAGTCTGAACTAATTGATCAGTGAGATTATGTATTAAAAATTTAGACAAGCTTACTCTCTCTTTTCGGTATGATAAGGAACATATACAAAACTGTACAAATGAAAATAAAAGTGCTAAAATATTTCAGCTCACTTATATTTGCGGTATTACTCAAGTTCAATTATGATACATTTAATTTTGACTCGCCCTCTAGCGACTAAAATATTATTTTCTGTCTTCACAATTTCAACTGAGGAGTGGAGGTATCTTAATCCGTTTTTTTTCTATAATCCATGGTAGTCGTCTAGTTATATGTATTTCCTTTTTAGCTTTCTAAGATATATAACAGCTTCAGAAAGTGATCCTTTTTTTTGTTCTTATCTGTGGCATCCCTTGTTGTCAGAAATTAAATTGTTTGTTTTAAGCCTTTTAGCTTACTGATAATTCTAATTAATATTATTTGTGTATGTCTAACAAATCGCTTCTTACTTAAAGCTGATATATTAGGCATTTCTATTAGATTTCTTAAGTCAAATATACGGCTTCCGTCTCTCTATTTTATTTTATTTTTTTGTCTTTCTTATTATAGTAAACAGCTGTATGAACAATCTTCATATTTAAGCCTAATGACACTACTTAAGCGAAGACAAACAATTCTTATATAGCGCTTGGTTTTAATAGCTCCCAACTTCATTTAAGCTCAGCCAATATCATGTTATTGCAAATGTGATACAAATATTATGGTTGTAAAACTTTCATAAACTGTAAAATGAACATACCTTTGTTTATGGGTTTTAAATAATTTTTCAAAGTTTCAGTGCAGGTTTACCGTGATTAGTTAAACATTTTAAATGAACGGAATGTACCTAGTTGAGAAAATTCCAAATCATTCCCTTAGGAAGTCGTTCATGGTTAGGATTAGTGCATGTCTTTCTAGCTATGTATGGAACCAATGCATTATATATGCAATTATTTTCTCATGACATTTGATGTATTCGACATATGTAGAGGTAGAGATGCTAGAAACCTTGGTTTCCCTGTTTTAATAATGGAAAAAAATGTCTACTAACGTGGATGGTCTAGCATTCTGGGAGGTCTTGGTCAGGCTTGAACTTCAATTTAATTCCAAATGAAGATAAGTGCTTGATAAGAACAGTCAGCGTCTTCGTGTTTGATCATAATTCGTCTAAACTTTATCTTGAGTGTTTCTGTTACATACAGAAAAACTGAGATAGAAATAGTATTTGTCTTCCAAAGACAAACCATTATGTGCCAACTTTCTTTATTGTGATTAAGTGTAAATAAAGAATTGTTTTTGTGTATATTCCCTTGTTGGAGTTTGACTTATGCTCTGTTATAACTTATCTTACCAATTGGCTCAGTTTTACTTGAGAATACCGCACAAAAGAAGCATGAAAGTTAGTTTATTTAAAACTGACTTTTTCATCTTTAATGGGTCTTATCTTGCAAATTGCAAAACCATTTTTCAAATAGAAATATTTAGTGAAAATATAGCAAAATAATGTCATTATTTATTATTCTTTCATAGTTACCACACTTATATATTTGGCAGATATTGTGATATAATAAATCAAAATCAATTTTTAACCGACTTTTATGAAATAATGATGTTGTTGAAACGGTTTCTATTGTTGATCAGTTGCTTTTGAATTATTTGGTAAAATATAATGCAATGTTCAGTCCACGCAATTATTAACAATAACGTTTTATTTCTTCGACTACAAGTTCTATCCATACACGGTTCATGAACTTATAATAGGTCTAAATTCGCAAACAATGCCAAGCAATCACATACTTGCTAATTTTCTAAACACAATCTCAGCGAGCTCGAAATTGAAGTAACAGACAAATCGACTAACAAACTCACTAATTCAATAATCAATCAACAACTCACAGTAGGCTCAATAGTCAACCAACAATAATTGGTTCAACTCGCTTTTTATATTGATCAAATAATTTCCTACACTTTCAAGAAGGTTCTATTCATTATTTTCTACGCGTCATCACGTGCCTGAAAAAAAAACTCCTTCCATTCAAAAACAATACAAATATCTCAATTAAATAACAGCCTACACCAACATGAATTAGTACATTCGAATTAGTTGTTAAATGAAGATACATGAAATAGTGATATGAAGTAGTATATCAAAGTAGGTTTTTAAATAAACATTTCAGAAAATAGATAGCGTACTTTTTTTTCTAGAAATTGTATGGGTTTGAAATATGGCTTCTCTAAGACTTACCAAAATAAAATAATATATTTTTTAAATTATCTAGATGTTGTGAATAACACTGTTACACAATCACTCAAAAGAAAAAAAATGTACAAAGGAACATGTAACTAATTTTTATAACTGGTTGGACGTAGATTATACAATTTTTCATTTGTGTCTGTATGGTTACAATTACACCGTCGTGTCGACATTCAGCTAAATAACATTACTATTGCTTTCTGTTTTGGTTTTTTTATTTTTTCTAAGGATAAATGTTTTAAACATATGTTCATATCACTGTTCAGTGTTTTAAAGTAATCCATCAGTTACATTGTAGTCTACATTTTGAAAAGTTCACTGACGTTTAAAAGTGTTTATTTATTTCCAGAAGACGGCGTTGCAGCATATATACATCATTTTCAGAGGCTGCAATTATGTTATTTAGTATTTTATAGCTATCGTATTATGATGAAAAATTATTTAATTACTTATTCTATGAACTACTAACCTTACACTTTATATCTCACAGGAAATATCAGTGAATAACAGAAACTCAGGATCCTGGAGTATAAGTAACTTGATAAAATGTAGTGTGAAAATTATTTCAATCCAGATCAGCTTTAAATATGCAAGAAAATTCCATGTTAATGTATTCTTTTAATTTATACTTGAATTATGCCATCTTTTAAGTTAAGTTTCAGTTATGCTTATTTCTTGCATTTAATGTATGGGAATGCGTACAGAGATAGAGTACGTTATATTAAAATGATTTTGGAATCT